CATAATAGAGAAGCTAGATTTTTTTTAATAAATGCTGTTTAGTTAAAATTATTTTATGGAGAAAACCAGATATTTGGATTAAATGCACAAAAATATTACTTATTTAGCACCATACACTTTAGAATTTCATTGAATGCAGTATTTATATTCTTAAATTCTTAAACCATCCATTGTCATTGTAATGTTATAAAGATTTTTACATTTTTAACGCCTAAACATAATATTATTTCTTTCGTTGACTATACTTTGACAGATACATAACCTGAAAAGCCTTAAATGCCAAATATTTAAAAGACTGCGTTCCGTACGTGGTCACGTGGTGGGACTTTGAGGTGTGGAGCATAGTACTCACAGGAAGAAGTGTCCAACCAGTGGCGTATCACAAAGAATATAAAAAAACTTCTAATGCATATTTTTTCTTTATCTTTGGGAAAATATTTTTTTAAATATTTTTCCGTTACAGGTTATGTCAATAGGTATTTAGTATTTTAATATATTTCATTAATTACATAACACCCTGTATAAAGATTTGGGATTAATTTGACATCAAATAAAAATTATACCTGCATACATATATCTAATAAAATATATTGTCTGTGACAGTGATAAACAATAGTTATTTAATCTTGGAAAAAGTGTTTCTATATTCTAGGAGAAACAACCTGGTTTGTAAGGTAGTGTTATTTTTAAGATTTTCTTTTTCAGATTCGAAGCCAACTTCGGTTCGCAAACGGTAACGTTCATGTTTAAGTGCGGCATGCCGGAAGTGCAGCCGGGCCAGATCCGGGTGCTGCGCAAGGCCAACAAAATGGAGGTTTTCGTGTGACATTTTGCCAAACATATCGTCATGACCATCATTCAATCACTGCCATTAGAGTTTCTCATTGTATTTGCATTATTGCACAACTCTATTGTAAAAAAATCGTTACTAAAGTCCCCGGAAGTCCTTCTGGGGATTTTTTTCGTTCGAAATATACGACGACGACATTAATGTTCCGGTTCACCTTCTTCTAAGAAATAATACGTAATAAAAATTCGACATAGTACAAAGTTGTTTTAGGCCAGGTCAATTTGAAAAAAGTTATTTTGAAAATTTGGATTTATTTGGATTAGTCGGGATCACAGACCACCAAAACAAATGGACGGCGCATTGCCATTCAATAACAATGCTTTGTTTGCGGTCAACAAACGGTCACAGTCTAAGCGTCAAATTGGAGATAGAATTTTATGTTTTTTTCCAGTGACGTCAACAAACGGTCACAGTCTAAGCGTTAAATTGGAGATAGAATTTTATGTTTTCTTCCAGTGACGTATTGGGATTAAAAAAATAATAAGTAGGTAGGTACTTACAAACGATATTTCCATGTATTGTTATTTTTAGTAAAAATAATCTATTTAAACTCCATAATTAACTTAAACACGATAGAAATACACAAACGAAAACACAAAACAACAAGCTGTCAACCCACAGAACATAACCTTTTTCTATGCTGTCAAATTTGACGAATTTACCAACGTTATTAATATTTAAATTTAATAATTATTAAATGATTTACTTTCTTTAAATAGAGAAAAATATCTAAAGAAAATGATGAAAAAATCCTTTTTACAATTTTTTTATTATTCAAACGAATTACTGGTAATTATTAATGTTCATTATGTTATGATGAACGTCCAAAAAGGCATGTAATCTATACTTCTGACAACGTTGGAAGCCGTGTTTCTTTCGACGGTGTTTAGAATGTGAAACTATGCTTTACTCGCTTTTTAAACGTAAACAAATCCGTCCATTTGTTTTGGTGGTCTGTGGTCGGGATGCAATAGTTTGTGCGCAACTTTTAAGTGGCGTAATATAAATAAAGGTGAGGTTGCCAGTAAAATGCAAAATCGTTTAATTTATATTACTTTATTTTTGAACATTTGAATAAATCTTTAAAAGCGGTTAAAATAAATATGTTTAGTTAATGAGCACTTTATTTTAACATAAAGTTTTTTTAATTATTGATTTTTTTTTTCGTTTCTATTCATTTAAACTAATTTGTAATCAAATAAAATTGAGCTAATAATCAAATAGGTATATTTGAAATAAGCAGGGATCAAAAATTATAAATAAAATTAATAAGTTAAATATTGCCTAAAAAAATTTTCATGGCCGATTGACCCTCTAAACTTAAATTTATAGGGACTCTTGTATGTCTATAATGCTAAACAATCTATACAGGGTGATCTAATATGAATTTTTAAGTTACAGCTTTAATCATCGTGATTCAGGTTTATATTTCTTGCAGGGAAATAAGATAACAAAGTTTTCATTAACTAGTTTTTGCAAACGCTTCGTTCCAGTGGCGTTATTTCTATGAATGGCACGCCATTTATTTTAATTTGTTTTTATATTAATATAAAAACAAGTTTGAAGCAGTGGCTTGCCATGTTTATTCAAACTTTCTTTTTCGCATCAAGCATCGTGAAACTGGTGATTATTGCCTACAGAGAGTTGGCACAACCCAGGGCATCATAGGATTAAAGTTTTTGAAGTTTTTTGATTTTTGCAACATCGTTTATTTTATTAAATAGATATAATATGTCTTTTAAGTTGGATGGATTTTTAAACTTTTAACTTAAAAACCTCATTTTATATTCCAATCTATTTCAGGCTTACATAATGCAAAACAATAAATCGGAGCCGCGGGTTGACAGCTAGTTTATAATGAAATAAAAATTAAAAAAAAAATAGAAAAAAAAGTTGAACCACTATGGGATTTGTGAAACTAAACGCAAATTAAATAAAGTTTTTCCTGGAAAAAAGGCAAACTCGTGTTTTTTTTTTTATAAAAAAAAACTTGAAAAAATTCACACATGATTTGAAAACAAAATGTTTCGATTATTAAGTTTTTGAAAAAGCACCCAATCTTGGGTGGGAGAAAAAACTTAAAAAACTTCTTCTTCTTCTTCTCTGGTTTGATTGGCCTTTCCCTTCCGGGAATTAGCCAGCTTAATCACGTTTCTTATAGGTACTGGAGTAAGCGAGTCTAGGATTACCTATAGCTTCTCCTTTCTTCTTTATTATATAATATATATAAATTACAGCTTCTCGTTTTCTTCTTGAATAATGTGATTAATGTCCATCAATATCACTTCAGTCTTCATAGTTCATAAATCAATCTTTTTATTTTAGCATTACAGTTCAATCTTAACAAATCTTCTCAGTACACTTATCATTTAGAGTCATTTTTATTACACTAATACACTAATGTCTCAAACATAAACAAAATCACCATACACGCAGCGGAAGTCATACATAAAAATAGAGGGCAAAAAAAATAGCAAAAAAAAAACCCACGATGCACTACATGGCTGTTTGAACATGACTATTAAATCCTTTAATATTTCGACCATCCTTTGTGGAAATCTATTGCATCTTCACAAATCTAATGTAGATTTTGGAGTTTTGGCACTGATTAGCTTAATTTTGTGCTGTGAGCACCATATTGTCCTCTCAAGGACACTTGTCACTTCAGCGGACAACACAGAACCGACTTAAAAAACTTACAGAAACGTTTTAAATGTGGTAATAAATTTCAGTAAAAAGTTGTCGATTTGACGTGATTGCTGTTGCTGTTTTATAAAATAATGGGGATATTTTTTATTGGTCAGGAAGACAAATATTTCTTAAACTGCTTTTTTAAAATATATTAAATTTTAAATTAATTTGGGATTTTCTCCCAGGAGACTATTATTTTAAATATTTTAATTCAGTATCCGCATTTTTTTATTGCTTAAAAATATTTTTAAAAGGTGGCCCTACACAATTTTATTTGTTAAATGATAAATTATTAAAAGTAAAAAGTAGAGTTTTAAAGCAATTGGTTAAGATTTTTTATGATTTTTTTTTGTAAATTTAAAAAGTTTAAATTATTAAAAAGAAGCTTTATTTATATTTATAAAAAATATCTTATTTTTTTGTAATTTCTTTTTTCGAGCCTTTAAAACATTACAAGCATTTTAAACATAAAATTGAAGAATTTGCAGAAAAATTGAATTTTGCATTATCCGTAGTATCTGTAACAATTATTACAGATAATGCAAAATTCTACTTTTCTGCAAATTTTTCCGTTTTCCATTTAAAATGCTTGGGAAAAAATACGAGAATAATTGCTTAAATCAATATTTCTGAATATTTGGAAAATTCGAAAAAAAAATCGCATACGAAAAAAATAGTAAAAAAAAGTAAGTAAATTTTTTTGGAAATTTCTTAATTTTTCCTTTTTTTCGCCGGCACAATTTTTTTGGAAATTTTAAAACGCTAGTAGAAAGTAAGGTTAGATAGATGTGACATCGAATTTTTTAATTGGTCTAAACGCGGTAAATAAATATATTACTACTAGCCTCCTAGAGGTTTCCGAAAACTTGTTATAGGATGTTTTTTCCGAGGTTTTTTCTTATTTTCATGCAAGGAATTGTTTCGCAATTTTAATAAATCACCCTGTATATTTTTAATTAAACCACCCAATGTTTACTTTTGTAGCAAATTATAATAATATCGGTAATTTTAAAATATCATGAGCAACCTTCCCACAAATATCCTGTGAACTGTAAATAGCAGAAATTAAATCTTGTGAACTGTAAATGGCCAGCCTGTTTACAAATAGACTATTTGAACAATTTTAAACTATCTGCAAAATATCTCATTTATTTATTTTTAAGTTGAGTACAGGATGATTCAAATTATTAACCCCCTTTTATTTTAGAAACGGCTTTTGAGACTTGTTTAAATTTTATGTTTGAAAAAAGGGGCTTATACTTTAGATCACCCTGTGTTAATTTATATCATACTTTTTATATTATTAAATCAATAGGGTTTTGTCTACACTAATTATCTGTCAATTAATGTTCTTGTACACCTAAATTCCAAATTGTTATGAGTAAGCAAAAATAAATAATTTCCTGGTCACATTTAAATGTTTATAATAAATTATATTCGAATATAGTGCCAAAACATCGTCTAGTTCAAATTTTTGTATTTAAATTTACGAGAACGTATTTGATTATTCCATTTTATACTTCACTTATATCCGTTACACACACTTAGTATATACCAATATTTCAAGCTGCATTTTTTGCAAAATTTCAATAAAAAAATAACTCTTCATGACAATCCAAAAATTCTTTGTAAAAATGTAGCTGTAAAAATTATCGTTTCGGTTTTTAATGTTTTTCATGTTAAAATTAATATGTACACATCAAATTAGTTGTTTACTGTAAATTATACAGCAATATGTTAATAAATAAGTTATATTTTTAATTGTGTGTTTTATTATACATCTTATTAATATTTTTTACAGTTTTTAGGGTTATTCTTTTTTAGGTGCTTCAGTTTCTTCTTTTTTGGTTTCTTCAGGTTTAGGTGCTTCTTCAGCCATACTGCTTGTTCCTGCATCTCCATTGGTCATTTGTTGATCTTTTATCAAATTATCGCAAACTTCCTGCGCAATATCTCTCTCATTATATTTCTTCCTCAAACTCTGGAACAATATCAATTGTGCTTCATACTCCCTCTTCAACTCTCCATTATGTCTAATCATAGTCTCCAATTTCTTGTGCATCAAATCTTGTCGCTCCTTCTCAGCCCTTATCTTGTCCTCCATGCATTGCATCTTATTCTCCAATTGTTTCACTTCCAAATTACGAATCTCCAACAAATCTTTTGTAATGCGCACAACGTCCTTAAGGGAGTCTGATTGTTGGTGCATGGCGTCCAATTGGAGTTCTTGATTTTTGATGATTTTCATTTTTTCGAAGATTATTCCTTTTGCTTTTGTAAGGGTTTCTTCGGACTTCGATTTTAAGCCGTCAACTTCTTCAGCCTCCTTTTGGCGACTTGCTTTTATTTTCTCGGCCTGTGCGATGTCGCTTTCCATGGCCAACATGCGCTTTTTGGTTTCAGTGAGTTCAGTATCTTTTTTCTAAAAACAAAAATTGTTATAATATTTATCTTTATAGTTAAAAATGTTTTTTGCTTATAAACACACTGATGGTTTTTAAAAAAAAATCAATATTTTTAAATCCATTTGAAGAGTTTCCATGAAATATTTTATGGACATGTCTTCAAAATATAATATATAATTTTGGCAACAGACACAACAGACAATAAAATAAAATAATTTCAGTTTTTTTTCAGCACAGATATCTGGAATATTCCAAGAAAATATTTTTTAAAGTTACATTTGTTTTTATACTCCACAGTGTATTTTGTATCTCACGAGATCGCTTATGAGATTTCGATAAAAGATAAATTATAATAATCAAATTTTAAACTATCAACATGATCCTATTTTGTTTCTTGAGTTTTGGAAACATGGAGCCTATGTATACAAGGAGTCTGAACTTCATGTATACAAAAATCTTCCCAAGATAAGAGGTCGCTGGTGTTCCGTTTATTAATAAACAATTGCTTGATTTGTACCAAAACAGCAGACGTCAGTACGCATCGACAATCAGCGCCGCAAGTGGTGAAAAATAAGACTTAATTTGTGCGATAGATAGATGGAGGGCAGGTTTTGTCAATTTCCCCTGTTAAGTTCGGGCTCCTTGTGTAGGCTCCATGTTTGGAAATCTCAAAAACAAATTTTTTAGCACTTTTTAAAATTGTCATTTAAAATTTCGTCAACTTAAGAAACACAAAAATATTACAGTTTTGGTGTTATTTGTAAATAACTAATTAGTTATTTATTCATCAAACTCTTCAAATGTAGATATCGATCCTTTCACAATCCATTGTGGATCCTTTTTGTATGGTAGATACTGGTTTGTTCTATGTTCTGTGTCTATATAGATAGTGTCATATGATACTACAGGGTGTATGTAAATTACCTGGAGTTCCTTTTCAAGAGCAATAATTCGTTCTTTAAATGCGGCATTTATCTTTTCACATTCCGCTAGTTTAGCATTTACATCACCAGAAACAGTCTAAAAATACATTAAAATAATACCCATATCTTTATACTTATTTGTTTGTTAGTAAAGTTAGAATTTTACTTTGTTTTCTACCTTATTTTGTGATTCAGCCATTTTTTCTTAGCAAAATTATATACTGTGCGTAAAAGTAAACCCAACGCGTGAAGAGTTTGCTAGAAAAGACTTATTTATAGACGTGTAGGCGTTTGAAAATTATTTTTAGAAAAAGAAAGCACCTTGGGAAATTTTGAATTACCCGCCTATGACATAACCTATAACAAATTTATTCATATTTTTAATTTTTTATATAATTATATGTTCTATAAAGTAACTTGTGTATTCTTTGTTAATTGATTATTTCAAATTCTTTGTGTTTGATGATATTTTTGAGTTTATCCTTGAAATCAATGCAGTCGAAAACTGCGCGAACCCTTTCAACAAGGGTCAAAAGTGTGATGTAAATTAAACAGCTATTTTTGATCGAAATTCATTAAAATTAATGCGGAATATTAAGAAAAACGAATAGAATACTGCACACAACGAGTCAGGTAAGTGATATACACATCATTATAGCAAATTATCATGGTTTTGTGAAGTTGTTTATAAATATATTGATTTTAAGGTTAGGAAATCAGTCATTTTCTAATAATACAATTATGGAAGAATACACAAGAGAACCATGCCCATGGAGGATAGTGGACGATTGTGGGGGTGCTTTCACAATGGGTTTAATAGGCGGAGGCGTCTTTCAGAGCATAAAAGGCTTCAGAAATGCACCTTCTGGAATCAACAAACGTCTAGTAAGTTTCACCTTTAATACCATAAAAATAGTCATGTTAACGCTAATTAATCTTATAGATTGGAAGTGTTACAGCTATAAAACAAAGATCCCCAATAATTGCCGGTAATTTCGCAATATGGGGTGGTATGTTCTCTACAATTGACTGCGCCTTGATACATGTAAGGAAGAAGGAAGATCCTTGGAATTCTATTATCAGTGGGGCTGCTACTGGCGGTATTTTGGCGGCTAGAAACGGTCTTCCAGCCATGGCAGGCAGTGCTTTTATTGGTGGTGTTCTCTTAGCTTTAATCGAGGGAGTAGGTATATTGTTTACAAGGTTGTCGGCAGAGCAGTTTCAACCCCAGTTACCCCCAATGGAGGATCCTAGTCAGTTAGGCGCTGCGCAACAAGGTCAAGGCTACACATTTCAATAATCTATTTTAGTGAATTATTAGTTGTAAATTTATCATAATATAAAAATTGTAAAATTCTCTTAATTGGTTTTATATATTTTTTTTTAAAGATTCATCCAATTTTTTTTATTTTGGATTTTAAAACTTGATGTTTATTAGGGATTTGCTCCTTATTATTGCCTTCATAGATTCAAGTTGTTAAATATTTTTTTTTATAAAATATACTGTTATAATTTAAAGACAAAAAAAGTAGTTGCAATGGGTTTTATTTTATTAAAAACAATGCATTTTTATTGTTTATTAGCAAAATCAAAACATTTACAGGTTTATTTACAGATTTAACAAAAGGTTATACAGTGTCCTTTAAATACCTCTATGAGTACTCAGTTGGGAACAATAATTGAAGAATTAGTCTAATGGATATTTTAATAGTTATTTAAAAAAAAAATGTGACATATTTGTATTTAAAAGCCTTAAAAATTATTTTTATACATACAGAATTCATAATATTACAAAATTTGGTTAAATTATTTTACTTAAATATAATTATTATCTATTAACAACAATTTATTTTACATAAATTTTAAACTACAATAGTTACAGGGTTTTCAAAATTCAATTTCAAACATTAAGTGAATATTTTAGGATATAAGGCATGTTAAATATTTATTTAAATCAAATTTTAGAAAATTCATAAAAGGTTTTTAAAAATGCTTAAAGTAATTTTATCTGTTGAATTCCTCAAAACCCTGTACAAAATGCAAAATTTTAATATAATCTATGATTTGTATTAAAATAGCAATTTTTATAGCAATAGTACATTACAGCTTCTATACATCAATATACAAATTTAAATTCTTATGATTGCATTCCTGCTTTATTATTTAACAATTTCTATAATTATACTTAAGTAATTGTGCCTCAATATGTTTCTATAAAATCTACATTTATTTGAGATAGGCAATATTAAAATTTATAATAACGTTTATCTCAAAAACCCTGCCAGGATTAACCACAAATTTAACATTTATAAAGGTGTATTTATTTACAAATGTTATTTAAACATCTATTAAAGCTTATTTACATATATTAACAAATCCTTAAATTGAATCCAGTTTATCTTAGCGGCTCCATTACTTAAAAATATAAAACAGATATTAGTACAAAAATTTAAAAATATGAGACTACACTTTTTCCAGTTGATATTCAGAAATTAGCAATTGATATTCAGAAAGCAGCAATTGATTTTCAGATATTGCAAATGAAATTCAGAAAATAGCAAATGATAACATTTTCATACTTCATTTTACTTATTTTCTAAAATCTCAATTTAATGTATTTCTTTGTATATTGCTTTGTTTCCATGGAATTGACAATAATAAACAAATTTATCACCATTTAAGTAGGTATATTTGTCATAATTGTCAACTTATTGCAAATACGGACCGAATTTTGTTCATTTGTACTTTATATAAATTTCATTTACTTAGTTAATAAAGATAACGTGTACTTTCGTTCATCATCGATTGAAACAATTTCTGCGGCTGAATTACATTTGATTTAATCTGAAAAACATTTGCTACTTTCTGAATTACAATTGCAAGTTTCTAAAAATCAATTGTGTTATCTGAATTACAATTGCTACTTTCTTAAAATGTTATCTGAATTACATATGCTACTCTCTTAAAATCAATTGAAATAGCTGAATTACAATTCCTACTATCTGAATATCAACTGGAATAACTGAATTATAATTCCTACTTTCTGAATATCAACTGGAAAAGGTGTAGTACGATAAACGAAGAATTGTAACGGTCATGCAGTTTTAGCATTGAGTAACACTTTACTCAATGGTTTTAGCGTTTAGTGAAGTATCTTTACTACAACTTTTAGGGGACCCCAAAAATCAGTAGTAAAAAGAAAAATTCACAGATGCCCTAAAATAAATGCACTAGAGAAGTTTTAGCTTTTTACATAATATTATGTAAAAAATACCATGGCATCGAATGATTTATTTATTTATTTAAGTTTTTTACATTAAAAAATGTAATTCTGGGGTTCCAGAAAGTTTCCAAGTGGTTTAAATTATTAACCAAATTAGTATAGTAGTATTTTTTGATGAGCTCAAAGTTTAAAATTGAGCGAATGGCGTGCAACATCTTTAACTAAAATAAAACAATTATTAAAAGCAAAAAGTGAGGTTAGATCGATCTAAAAGATGTAGCTCCAAAGTAGCATAATTAACCTAACCCGATTGGTCTAAATCATTTTTATGTGCATTTGCCATAAACAATCACTTTTTAAATAATTAGTAACGAGTGTTAACAATAAAGTTCAAATTATATACTTATTGAAGATAAAATATGATAGGTTTGTACGTTAAAGTTCAGTGGATACTTGTGACAAGATAATTAATTTATTAATTTACAATTGTGCAATGTTTCGAAATAGGTAGGTATCTCGGAAACGGTAAATTCTATAAAAAATTTAATTCTTTATAACTGTTAACACAAAACAAAATTAATACAATAAAAAATGTAATCTTAAATTTTTAACTAATCCATTTATAAAGAAATAGTTACCTATTACTAGGTATTAATAGTATGGTGAGATTACTAGGTATTAATAGTATGGTGAGATTAAGAACAATACAAGTCCAAAACTTAAAAGTTTAACAAATTATTTTATAAAATTTATTTTATAGTTCAAAATACATTTTTTTAAATTAATTTTTTAAAATGATTTGTAAAAATAAAAAATTTGGACTTGCTCTATACAATATAATGTATTCTGAAATAGCTTACTGAATACATTAGGGCATTTAAATGCAAACTATGGTTAGCGTACGCTTTGGAAACGTTACATTTTATTTTTCAATTTATATTTGCATTTCAATTTTTAAGTAAAAATCACTTGGCGCCGTGTTTCAATAACATGTCAAGCTTGGTTTTTATTTAAAAACTAGTTTTTAAGCTGAAATCAATACGGGATTTATCCTTAGTTATAAATTAAAATAGTGTAGTTTTTCCTTTAAAAGAAATTTGGCAAATATGACCCACTTAAGTATTTGCCAAAGTACTTTTCAAGAAAAAGAGTACACCCCTTTTGATTTATAACCAAGGATAAATCTCGTATTATGCATAATACATCATGATGTATTCGACATTTAAATGTTAATTGTCTAATTAATGTTCAAATAATCCATTTAAAACCTTTAATTAATTAAATTAATTGTTTTTAATTGTTTTTAATTATTAAATTAATTGTTTTTAATTATTAATTATTGGTCTATATTCTGTCTATTGAGGTGTCTAAAATTATTTAGATTATTTGAATACGTAGGTATTTTTGTGTAAATATTTCAAAACTATAATTAATTAATTAATTAATTTAAATTAGCTATGAATTAGCATGAATTCATGCAATTATAACCAAAAAGAAAGTGTTATTTGTTTTTAAACAATGGGACGAAATTAGCGTTTAGCAGTTTATACAGATATATATATATATATATATATATATATATATATATATATATATATATATATATATATATATATATATATGTATATGTAACCTCAATTGTTTGTATTTAAATGTCAAAGTGGGACTTTTGGTTGTGGAACTATAGTTATATATATAGTATATACTATATAGTTCCACAACCATACTATATAGTATAGTATAGTTTTTATTTAATTTTGCGATATTATGTTAACTTATACTTAACGAAGTCCAAACTTGGATATATATATACATTTGTACTTTATGCTGTGCACTATAAATCTAATGTTGGTCGTATAAAGGTAAAATTGGTAACGAGATTAAGTATAGGTTTAAAGGTCGCTCAAAATGATTAAAAAATCGAGATTTTTTTTAATTAAAATATGACTTAAAATTTAATATTCTCCAACACAGCAAACAGAAAAATATAGAAGTGTATACAGGGTGTCCTGAAATTAGTGCACCATACTTTAACAGCAGATTCTACGTGCAAAAATAAGAAAAAAAGTCCCTATAAACATAGGTCAAGAAATGCTTCTTAAGGGAGCTACAGCCCCCAAAAGATAGCCCCTGAAGATGGTTTTTATTTAATATCTCCAAAACCGTTAAAGATAGAAAAGTGAAATTTAGGGAATTAATTAAACTTTGTATGACCAATAAGACGTAACAATAACAATTTAAAAAATTTCATGTGGTTTGGGTCAGATTCATAGGAAGTTGGGTTAAAACCACCTTAACTTTTTTGTACGTATCTTGTACCAGAATTTGATGTCAGATTTTGAAATTGAAGTTTTGCACATAAAAAAGGTCATCTTGTTGAACTTCGTTAACATTCACCGTTTTCGCTTAAAATCGATTTGAAAATTATTTTACATGGCATAAAAATTCACAATTAAATCACAACCATACAAATGGCCTCGCGTGGTCCTTGGAATACGACTGCCATGTTTAGGAAAAAATAGAATAATTCAAGACAGGTGACAGTTTCATGTAGTAAGTGACAGGGTGTTTCTACTTTTTTATAAATATTAGATAAAAACCACATTCAGGGGCTCCCTTTTCGGGGGCTGTAGCTCCCTTATTCAAAAAGGGGGCAGTCCAATGGTGCAGCAACTTCTGATTCTTATTCTCTTCAGAGACATAGAAACTCGAGGTTTTCGAATTTTACTGGCAATGATTTTCGTTAAGGTCCCCGAAAATTATAAAAAAAAACAGCGCAATGCAATATCGCAACGGTTTCGACTTCTCGAGAAGATCTTTACTCTACCAAGTTGACTTGACTTCGCAATTAAGCATTTTAAAAATTCCTACTGTATAAACTTATAAAAAGACTTCTTTAGAATTTCCTGTTTGGGATATAAAACAACCACTAGGGTACTGATGAAAAAATTACATACTGGATCGTTGCTTATTTTGATATGTCTATAGTTTAATTACCATAGAACAAAAGAGTTTGTTAAATTGATTTTATTAAAATCATTTTAATAATTTGCTCGTATTCGCTTATTTTTGGAATTGCGATTACTTCGTCTCACTTTTGTTTAAATTCAAGCGTGCTTCACCGGTACCGTTAGACGGCCTGTTTCGCTCTTTTGAAGCTCTTCAGTATCGGGTAGCCGTTTACTTAGGTTTAAGATCGTTTGGTATGGAGCACGCTCTAAATTCTACTTTCAGTAAGA